TTATAAAACTAAAAATATTCAAAAAACAACAAATGTAAACAAACATATACGATCTGTCAAAAGTGTCAAAACAATTCTTAACAACATGACCGAAGTGAGGTCGTTTTTAGTCACGTGATGCCCTCTGCATAGATTCTAACTCGATGATATAATTTTAGGTTCAGTATTCAGTTTTTTTTAGTAGTATTTTCAGGAAATTAGATTAGACATGCTTAAAATACAATATAACGTCACTGAAAGAAGGCATTATCTTGTCTTATAATCTGTGATTGAGACCATAATCGATTTTTTGTTTGTACACGTATCTGGAGTTAAAATCGTTAGTTGTAGTATATACTTTTTAAATATATGATCCAATATATCTACCAAATTGTTCTATATGCAGTATTAGCACATTTAACAAAGTTTTATACGTCGGTGGTTTCTGATCTTGTTTGCGTTGCGTGCCTCTTTGTTAATGTCACTTGATATGATGGATTTGGCCTACGGCACATAATACTCCGTTTTACTTTATCGCTGGGTAATGAAAATATTTTATACGTTTTTAACCTGTTGAGCTATGCTGAAAATATGTTTTTCTCTTTATTATGCATGGGCTTCACCGCCAAACAATGCTTGGATGATATATACTGGATGGATCTTTGGGAGTTCTAATTAGACGTTTTAGAGAACCTTGATAGAAATATCTTAAAATTTTGAATAAGGGTTTTCTTAGGTAGATATACAGTATAGGTAAAAGTTTATGGTCGGTATGGACCTTACATGAGATGAAGTGAGAAACAACTGTTTAAAAAGAGAGAGATATATTAGGTGTCCGCCTTTTATATCACCGAACATAAATTAGTGGATATGGAGTGGATATAACAAAAAGGGGAAATTCAACGTTGCCAAACTTATTGGTTTTATTTGACCTGTTGTCTTTTTCGCATTTGAACAATGCTCCAAGATAATGAAATTTGGGCGAAATGGATTTAACTGGCAGCTTATTGTTTTTTATTGGGAATATGCCACAATTTTACTTTACAATAAGTGTAATATAACATTTTGATTTATACTTCGGAAATCGTTTTATATAAATAAAATTTATTAATGTTTGGTATTTTAAAAACGATTTCCGAATTAAAAATCTAAACATCAAAATAAGCTTATTTTAAAGTGACATTATGCCTTATTTCCAATAAAAATATTAAACTGCATATAAATAAAAAAGCTTCGTACAAAACTATTTGCCAACGTGGCGTGTCGCGTGGTCAAATCACCGAATCAAAGAGAAAGAGTACACAGGTATTTACGAATAGAGGTGGGTCATTGACGTCGCAAAACCGATTTTCGTAAACAAGTAACTATGATTTTTTAATAGAAGTTTCAAGTAAGAAACTACCTACATAAACAAACATAATGGCTATTATCGTTTATGTGTATATTTATTGAAGTGAAGGAAACTAATAAAAGATTTTACTATAACTTGAAAACTAAACTAAACAATACAAATAGTAAATCGTACTTACGTTTACATTACACGTTATTAAATCACGAATCGTCTAAATTGACATTTAAAAACATAAGTTTTTTTACTTTACTTCTTATTAACCGTGTTTTTCTTTTATTTAAAATTAAACCTGATTTTAAACATGTGTTCACATTTACAATACTTTATGAATATAGTGGTTAAGTTAGGAGATACATGGCGATGGTTTTTCCACCATTGTAATGGACTCTCGCTACAGGTGTACGTTTAGATGAGTCATGTCCAATTAATTGATCAAAAATACACCATGGACTTAAGTCATCTTTATCGGTTTCTTTTTCTTATACTGGTTGATTTTCAATAGTACAATCTTCTTGTTCTTTAATTGTAGAAGTAACCAGTTTCTTAACTCTTTCTTTTGTTTTTTTAGCGTCATTTTTATCAGAAAATCCCTGCACTTTATATCGTGAATCCATAAACGTACATAATGACAATATGCCACTCTATTCTATCCCTCTAAATCTTTTTGCTAAACCCAAGATTAGTAATTATCCCGTAATTAGTAATAAAAACCCGTACTACGTCGGATACTATGGATGTAAGGTTACTGTTTGCTAAAATTTTATTGCAAAATTTTTGCAGGCAGCGTACCAGAACAATCACTGAACTATCATTCAAGTATTTTTGGCCACTCATTGTACTTGTTATTTCTTTAAAAGGTCGTAAAATTTGGGACAATTACGAAAAAATAATCCAGTCTTCATTATTTAGATTTGGTCTAAGTCTAAGTCTGTATTAACTGATACCAATGTGGAACGGATTGCTTCTTCTAACTCCGTCATTCTTTCTAACATGTAATAGGTGAAGTTCTACCTAGTTTCCACGTCTTGGATTGGCCGTTTGGGATCTTTGTTATGTTGTAATTGATACTTTAAAAGCGTTTCTGAAGATAAGGTACTTTTTTGAAATGTGTTTTTTGCCAAATTGTCGAAAAAAGACTTTTTATTTTATCTATTTGTACACGACAGCATTTAAGTGCGTCCTCCATCAATAAATTTAACGTATGAGCAAAACAATTTAAATGTTTTCATTCCAAAACATATTTAATACCTATGACCATATTTGAGGCATTATCAGTTACTGCAAAATTTATTTTTGTTTTAGACCCCACTGAATAATAATTTTAATAATTTAAAAAGCGATGTTTTCTGAATTATGGTTTCCAGAAAAATGGCAGCAGTCTAATAAAACCGTGTTAAACTCTAAATTTTCGGTTAAATTCGTTAAAATCAACTACTTGATGGTTCAAGCTGGTTACTTCTATAAAAAAAAGAAGATTATACTATTAAAAATTAACTAGTACAAGAAAAAGAAACTGATAAAGATGACTTAAGTCCATGTAAATGTAAGTAATTTATTTTTCAAGTTATAATAAATATATTCTTCGTTAGTTTCTTTCACTTTAATACTTATACACATAAACGATAATAGCCAATACGTTTATGTACTCGCTAATTTGAATACTGGTAAACAATCAACTAGTTACAGTTTACGGAAAACGGTTCCGATAAAAATTTAAAAAACTAGAGGACCCACCTCTAGTTTCTTAGCTTTATGAGGATCGGAACCACAGAATATGTAAAATATCTCTGATCGGAACTAATCGTCTCACTAACAGGCAATGGGCGTCAAGAAGATTTATGGAGGGCAGACCAAGGGGGAATATGATTGTTATCTTTGTCTATTCGCTGAATATATGATTTTATATCTGTGTTAGATATCCTAAGTTTTACCAAACCGACCATAAAATTTTACCTACACTGTATACAATAAATTTTCAATATAAATATACAATAAAAATAAAATATATCGAGAACCTTAGCACTTTCAGTTATACCGAAAATGAAGGCACTAATAGTCAATCCGTAGATTACTCGAATTTTACTAAATATTATGAAAAATTGTCTAGAAACTCATTCTATGTTAAGTTGAATCATTTGGGAATAAGGAAACTATAGGCATGGATTTTAGTTTTTTTACTGATTGACATTTTCTGGTGAGCATTAATGGTACTCTTAGTGACTATTCTTTTTCTTCTTGATGTGTCTATCCATTACGAATATTGGCGATCATCATGGCAATCTTTATCTTATCTGAAGCAGCGCGAAAAAGCTGCACAGATGTATTGAACCAGATTCTGAGGTTCTTTAACCAAGATGTTCTTCTTCTTCCTGGACCTCATTTTCCAAATATTTTTCCCTTGCAGGATGGCTTGAAGGAGAGCATATCTTTATTCATTTCGCATAATATGTCCGAAGAATTGTAACTTTCGAGATTTAATGGTGGTCAGTAATTCTCGGTTCTTATTAATTCTTCTGAGGACCTCCTCATTTGTGATCCGGTCAGTCCACGGGATCCTTGGTTGTTAATTCCTGTTTCTTTTAGTATTTGCATCATCTTGGCGTGCTGTACTCGATAAAACGCTTTCTCGTAATTAACCAGACATGCGTATACGTCGCAGTTGACGTCTCTTCTTCTCTGGAATAAGACATGTACTGAGAACAAAGCCTCTCTAGTACCAACGGCATTTGTGAACCCGAAATGGTTGGGGGAAATTTGGCTTTCACACCGCTTGTAGATTCTCTTATGAATTATCTTCAGGAACAATTTTAGGAGATGACTCATGAAGCTTATAGTACGATAATCTTCGCATTTTTGAAAAATAAACTTTCTGCTGTAATATTCTTGATTTATCATTTACTTTTTCTTCTAGCTCAAAGGTTATATTTGGTCTTTAAATAAATTTTCTAGATATTCTTTGCACGTTCATATTTTATCTGTTTGTCCAAGATGATGTTTCCGTCAGAATCAGTTAATTTCCTTTATGCCTTCGTCTTAGTCCTTCTGTGAGTTCTTTAACTTTCCTATGTAGATTGTGACTATCGTACTTTGACTGCAGAGTCCCAATTTCTTCGCATCTTTCCCTTGCTTCTTTTTCTTTCGCTTTAATTCAATTGCTGCTTTCTCCCCTTTGTCTGCAGTAGGAGCATAGACTTGGATAATATTTATATTAATAGGGTTGGCTTCTACTTGTAGTAACATCACTTTGTCTGATATTGGTGTAAAGTTAGTAACGCATTTGACAACCTTGGGTGATACGATTATTCCAACTCCATATTCATGTGATCCATCACTTTTTACCGAGTAATATACCTTGTGATCTTCTATTTGTATTTCTCCAGAATCTGGCCATCTCATTTCTGCCATTCGCAGAATTTTAATCATGGGAATATCAGAGAATTAGCCTCACCTAAGGAAGGGTAAATTAGCTAGAGACTGCATAAGAGGTGATAAAAAAATTTCCAAACACAATCAAGAATGCTTGTAGTATGAATTTTCAAAATGCTTCAGATGCATACCACAAACGACCTTTGCCATACGATTTAGCGACAAACCAAAAAAGAAAAATATATGTTTAAGTAAAATAAAAAAGTAAAAAATAAGTAAATATAAAAATATTAATCCATCATACCTTCCACATAATACATTTTCATCTGGTAAGACGTGCACAGGACCACAACTGATTATATTTTGGCAATTTCTGCATCTTAATTCTCGAATAATAGAAAAGGGTATTTTGGATGGCCGTTCATTCATCTGCAACAAAGCAACAAACTGTTAGGCATATACTTTTAACTATTTCTTAATTTAAACAGTAAATAAGATTAAAATATTGCTAACCAAGCTTTTATGACTATAATAAAGATAACGTAACAGTTTCAAAATGGATTTAAAGTTAATAAATTGTAAAAATTGAATAAATAAGCAAACAGAACCTTTGTTTATTGCCTCAATAAAGAATTAGTTAAGGTATTTTTATTGAATGATAAATACTAGAAGCCGTGAACTATGGTAATAATTTAAGTGTAATATATTAAATTATACTCCTTAAATTCCTTGCATGTAAAATGCTCCATTGATTAAAATATTATTATATTATTCATTGTTTTTGAGAAAGTCTATGATAGTAGATTTATTTATCGAATGGTATACAATAAAACCACATAATTAAAAATCAGTATATAACGTTACTTATGTAGTAATGTAGTTATGTAGTAATACAAATGAACATCTAATGTATGTAACACATTTTCGGTCGCATTCAGGAACTCATCGAAAACTCCAAGGTATCGCCTTCGGGGGCATTCTTCAACAATGTCGGTCTGTCGTTGTGCACCACAGTGACACTCGGAAGTAAGGGCTTTTTCCCATCTATATCAGCTGTCCGCTGTTTGATCTTATTCTGTTTAGCGGTGTCCATGTATCGCGGGTCAGTTCAAAGCCTGGCGGTTTCTGATCGATACAGGCCATTTGGTGTGCTTCCTGTGATAAGTCGCTTCTTCATTGTCTTCTTTAAGCGTTGGTGAGGTTGAAATGTTCCTGATGTAAGGAAAGGCTCTTAACAATGGAGGATATCTGAAGCGCGGTCTGTTTATTTCAATATTAATAGTGGAAAGGTAGTTAATGGTGAGCCTCGATTTTTCGATATTCTCTGGAACAGAATGACTTTTTCGCAGTTTTGGCGGTTGAATGTGACTCTAAATCCAAGGGCAGATGATCTGAGTACAGAGGCTGAGGACCTCCATGTGGTGCCACATACCTTTTGGACTATATTATTTGGCGTTTACAATTTTGCTGCTATTCTTTGTACATGTTATTTAAAACTTAATGCTCTGTTCAGAGTCACTCCAGGAAATTTTGGTGTTGTGTTATGAGTGAGCATTCTGTTTTTAAAGTGAACGGAGAGTTTTTGTTGGCTTGGTTATTATTCAGATGGGAACAGCTCACTTCGGTTTTATTTGCATTGGGCCGTAGCCTCCATCTGCGAAAGTATTCTCCCATAACGGCAAAGTCCTCCGTTAGTATTGTTTCAGTTATATCCATGTTAATATGTCTTGCTGCAATGGCCCAGTCATCAGCGTAGCCAAATTTCTGCGAAGTTGTCCCAGGCATGTATAAATTAAGTAGAAAGGGCGCCAAAATATATTCCTGTAGCAGTCCATTGCTGTGCTTCATTATAATACTTATAAAGTTGCCCATTGTGACTTGAAAAGGTCTGTCGGTGAGCATGCTATCAATAAATTTAGTTAGCTTTTGACACGGGACGGCACGGATTATAATTTTGCAGCTAATTTGGTGATGGGTAAAAAATATAATACAAAACTCGAGCTTTGCTTTCCCAAAAAATAAATTGACAAACTATAACTACGCTGGTTTTATACGTAGATCAATTTAGACGTAGATCGACGTAGAATCACGAAAACAACCAAAACATCTAAACTTCAACCTAATATAATTAAACTACTCCAAGAAAGACGAAACAGAGCAGATTGAACTTCGGACAGCTTTAAACTTCGGAAAGTTTAAACAAAAACGTGAAGAAACAAATTAGGAACGATCATATAAACTATACCAACAATCTAATAAAAAATATAATACAAGATAACTGCAATATGAGAGTACTGAAAGCAAAAAACTCAAGCGGCATAACAAAAATCATAAAAATAAAAAATGAGAAAAACGTCATCGTCCGAGACAGAAAGGAAATTTTACACTAAATTATACCCGGTAAATACACAACCACAACAACGGCGTACTGAACCAACAATAATTAACACCGTCTCAGAAGAAATACCGGACATAACCGACTATGAAATAAGAATGGCCCTAAATTAACTAAAAAGGAATAAATTGTCGGGAGTGGATAAACTTACAGTTGAGATGTTGAAAATTGGTGGCAGAAAAATGAAACAGGTATTAAATATTTTATTTATTAAAGTAATTGATGAAGGAAAGATTCCTCAAAAATGGTACAGCTCAGAAGTCATTCTACTATTCAAGAAAGGAGACAAAGCAAACATCGAGAAATACCGACCAATCTCCTTGCTATCACATCTGTATAAATTACTAACTAAAATCATAATCAACAGCCTAACACATAAGCTCGATTTCTATTAACCTATCGATCTAAGTAAGAACACTAATAGAAAAATGCACCGAGTATACTGTTCCAATTCATATGGCGTCCCTCGATTTCCATAAATCATTCGATTCCATCGAATTATGAGCAGTGCTTGAATCTCTAGAAAATGCACGTATAGATTTAAGATACACTAACATAATTATATACGAAAATGCCACCATGCAGATCAATCTGGACGAAAGCACAAAAACTAATCCCATAAGACTACAACGGAGAGTAAGATAATGAGACACCATCTCTTCCAAACTATTTATCCTTGCTCTAGAAGACATTTTTAAGAAACTAAAATGGAACAATAAGGGTATCAACGTCGACGGATTATTCTTAAACCACTTGAGATTCGCAGATGACATAATTTTAATAGCTGATAATATCCAAGAACTAAATGATATGTTACAATAATTAAATGCAGTTTCAGGAGCAATAGGCTTAAAAATGAACTATAGTAAAACAAAAATACTGAGCCGAGACCAGACAAATATAACAATACAAAATCATACCATAGAAAATGTTGAACATTATGTATATCTAGGTCATCAAACTAGGAAAACCAAATCAAGATGCTGAAATTAAAAGAAGAACTCAACTGGCATGGGACACTTTCGGGAAATAGCATATATCTTGAAAAACACCTCCATTCCTGTAAACATAAAGAAAAAGGTGTATAACACGTACAGACTATCAGTTTGTACCTACGGCTTGGAGACAGTAGCCCTTACCAAACAATCTGCTAAAAAATTAGAAACTACGCAAAGAGCAATGGAACAAATCATGCTTGGAATATCACTGAGAGACAAGATTAGAAACACCGAGATAAGAAGTAGAACGAAGATCAGGGATATTGTGGAAGAAATTACAAAAATGAAATGGCGCTGGGCAGGTCATGGATCTCGATTAAATGACAACAGGTGGACACGGAGAATTCTAGAATGAAGACCAAGGACAACAACAAGAAGCATGGGAAGACCTCAAAAATATGGGTAGATGAAATAAGAGCAGTGGCAGGCAAACAGTGAATTAGATTGGTGCAAGATAGAGAAAGATGGAAGCAAATAGGAGAGACCTACATTCAGGAGAAGATGGAAAATGGTTGACAAAGAGAGAGAGAGAGAAAGAGAGTAATTGTAGATGCAATTGATTGTATGCCCGTCACTGATTTTTAAATAAAAATAAGGATCAGGAATTTAGTACTCGTATCGCTAGCCTCATAGTATTTCTCAGATAACAAGATTCATCACGGCCATATTTCGCAGTGTATGTCACAGATCACACTTTAGATCATCATCATCATCATCAATTAGCCAATCGCGTTTACTGCTGGACATAGGCCTCCCTCAGTTCTTTCCAGTGTTCTCTATACTGGGCCGCTTGTAGCCAGTTTCCCGCTACACGTTTTATATCATAGGTCCATGTAGTCGGTGATCGTCCTCGGCTTCTTTTATAGTTTTTGGGCCTCCATTCCATAATACCTCTTGTCCACCATCCATCTTGTGATCTTGCTAAGTGCTCTGCCCAGTTCCACTTAAGCGACGTGGTTCTTTCGATGACGTCTTGAACTCCTGATCTTTGCCTAATTTGTTGGTTTATGTGGTCTCGAAGGCTCACGTTCAGCATTGCACATTCCATGGCTCGTTGTGTAACTCTGAGTTTATTCGCAGATTTTGCGTGAGTGTTAAAGTCTCTGCTCCATAAGTTTGTACAGATAAAACACATTGGTTATAAACCTTTTGCTTGAGACACATGGGAATTGAACTTTTAGAATATGGCTTAATTTATCAAATGCTGACCAAGTTAGGCCTATTCGCCTCTGTATTTCATGTGTTTGATTGTCTCTGCTTATTTTGATTTCGTGTACCAGATATTTGTAAGTGTCTGTTTGTTGTATGGTATTATTGTCAATAGTTATATTTCCACTCATTACGAGATTTGTTATAAGTTTAGTTTTCTCAAAGTTTATCTTTAATCCTGCTCTTTCGGACAAACTTTTAAGCGAATGCATCATAGAAACTGTATCTTGTAAATTATCTGCGATTAATACAACATCATCTGCAAATCTTAGGTGATTTAATCTTTCTCCATCTATATTGATGCCCATATCTTAACATTGAGTGCTCTTAAATATTGACTCTGGAGCTGCCGTGAACAATTTTGGTGAAATATTGGCTCCTTGTCTAACTCCTCGACCTAAGCTGAATTTTTCTATGTCTTCGTGTAGTCGTATACTTGATGTAGCGTTCTCGTAGATGTTTTTGATTAGTGTCGTGTACCTGTAATCTATTCGGCTTTGATTTAGGGCTTCCAGTATTGTTTTAAACTCTAAAGAATCAAAAGCCTTCTCGTAATCGACAAATGCAAGAACCAGTGGTATGTTGTACTCGATGCACTTTTCTATTAAGATCTTTATGCAAATGGTCATTTGTGCCATATCCTGCCCTGAATCCTGCCTGTTCTTTGGGCTGATAGAAATCAAGTTTAGGTGTTAGCCTCTTTGTTAAGATGTTCATAAAGAGTTTGTACATATGTGTCAAGAGGTTGATGGGTCTATAATTTTCTAATTAGGTAATATCGCCTGTTTTGTGTAACAAGACTATTACTGCATTGTTCCAGTCTTTTGCAATCGTACGCGCATGTAAGCATTTATTAAACAGTTCGCTTACTGATTTTAATTAAATTACTCCTCCTGCTTTTATTACCTCGATAACGAGTCCATAATCACCAGGCGATCGATGGTTCTTCATTCCCTTTAAAGCTGCTCTTACTTCTGACACAGTAATGGGTAAAAGTATTTCCGATCCCTGATTTATGAGAGTCTTTACTCGTGTCGGGAAATTGTCTTGTAGTCTTTGGCTGGTATAGAGGTCTTTATTAAACTCTCTGGTTATTTTCAGAATGTTTTATTTATCTGTTGTTGCCTTTTCGTCTTTATCTCTCAGCTTGTATATTTCTTTTTAACTTTGTGTGAGTTTTTTTTTCATTATCTTTAAACCTTTGTTCTCTTCTACTGTTTGGGTAATTACATTAGTTTTATAACTTCTTACATCTTTTCTAATTTCCGCTGAAATTCTTTTATTTAGTTTTTTATATTCTTCTTTGTTTCCCTTTTCGTTCTCGCTTAGGTTACGTCGTGTTTCCAAGAGAGCTTATGTATTTTTGCTAATCTTTTCACTTTTGGTGTCATTTTTTTTGCAAAATTTGAGTTGTGCATTTCTAACCGAGTCTGTTATTAATTTATTGTGATCGTCAATACTTAGAGGTTTGGGATTATTACTCTGTAAAGTTTCGGCTATATTTTTTATGTATGCTTCTGGATGATTTGGTGAATTCCAAACTATGTGTTTGCAGCTCTTTCTTTTTGTAGATTTATCGTTACTCTAGCTCTTACTGGTCTGTGGTCGGTTCCTACTGATAGTTTATTGAGTACACTGACATCTTGAATAATTTCCTTTTTGTATGTTATTATATATTCATCTTCGCTTTTAGTTCTTCCGTCTGGACTAGCCCACGTCCATTTTCTATTCTGATTCTTCTCTATTCTGTTTCTTCTAACAGAAGAAATAACACACTTTAAATACCTTCTGATAATAAATGACGATGTAACCGCAATGTGTGTCAAATGAAAACAAAGACATGGTAATATTATTTTCCTAATCTAATACTTATTATTAATGTTAATAATATTATAAACATATTTCATTAAGAAAGCTTTAAAGTTTTATTTGACAATACGTGAGCACGCACAAATTTTCGAGTTCAAACACTGCAGCATTTGGTTGCCCTTTTCCATTAAAAACTTTTTAATTAGATCCCTTGCTTTCCTAAGAGTGCCGATATTTTTGATTTTAGGGCGACTGTCGAATTATACTGAGCTTTAAAAACTACTCGACACCCGAAGTTATTTAATTAAAGTTTAAATTTGTAGGCAAACAACTCATCCCGGATTCTGGGTCGGTCGCGGTCAGGATTTACATGAAACAAAATGCGGAAAGTTCGGGAAACTAAAAATTTAGTTTATGCTAGTGAGAGTCTAGGAAAGTTTTGAAAGTTTCTAAGTTATCAAAACAATATATTTTTAATAAGTTCAAATAATAATTTAATATTATTGTATACAGGGTGTTTCAAAAAGGTATGTCATAAATTATATCGCGCATTCCGGGGACAAAAATTAATTGATTGAATACTTACTTAACTGAAACTTACCTTAGTACAAAAGTGTATACAAAAAAGTTACAGCCCTTTGAAATTACAAAATAAAAATTGTTTTTTTTTGCATTATCTCCTAAAATACTTGACATTTTGTAATAAAAATGGACACGTTACTTTCTTGTTCTAAAAGAATTGTTCATACAAACATTTTTTAAAGGTTAATGAAAATGGGCGTAACTCAATAACAACTTTTTTGAAAAAAGTGATAACAGGCAAAATTTTTTTAAAAATATTGTGTTAAATTAATGATACCACAAAATTCATTTGATTTGAATTTACTCAAAAGTTTGGGGGGATTTAGGGCTGCACCTCCCTTAAAATTTTTCTGTGTGCTTAGATTTTGTTGTTTCTTATTTATGAAAAATGCTTTTAGAGCAACAAAGTAACGTGTCTATTTTTATTACAAAATGTCCAGTATTTTAGGAGATAATGCAAGAAAACAATTTTTATTTTGTAACTTCAAAGTACTGTACCTTTTTAAAACACCCTGTATAACAAGAGAGAAAAATTTGCCGGTTATAAGTTTGTTGCCTTACAATTTTCGCGAATTTAATTTTGACAGTTAAATCACGAAACTTCAGTAAGTGGTTTTGTCAAACTTTTTCACACGACAATTATTAATGCATCATAGAAACGAAACTTAATCTTTATTTGTTAACAATATTAAATGTAAAATTATTATAAGCTAAAGTAATTTGCCCATTCTTTTCCATCAAAGCATGATTTTGTGTATTATTGACCTGTAGCGTTTGGTAACTCGAGGTTCCAGCTTCATTTGTTGTTCTGAGATTTTCGGTCAACTTCTGGTGGTGACTGGAATCCAGCTAGAGATATATTTTAGAAGACGTTTGAATAACCAGTTAATTAAATTAACTCCTGTTCAAAAACACCTTGCTTGAACAAGACTGACACAGCTGAAGATCGATGAAAATTATTGTTTTTTTATGTTTTTCTGTGTCTAATCCAATTTTTTCAGGTGACATTTTTGTCCACTGATCTGGCGTTGATTCCATGTGGACAGTTTTTGAACTAAGATCCATCCTTTTAATTGGAAGGAACGGTAAGAAAGAGTCTGTCTGATAAAATCTTCGGTTTCCCTTTTTCCAATAATATCAAAAATAATCTAACTGGTCATAAATTTTCGTTTGATAAATTTCTTATCAGCCATTTGCTGCTTGCCAAACTTTTCGAACCACCTTAATTTGTTTTGGAAAAAATGCTGTCGAATTCAATGCGGCCTGTAAATTCTCCTATAACATCAAATTCTTTGTGAAAAAAGTAAATCTTGCAGTTTACGTCCCCATGTCCTCTTTTAGCAAGTTCAAATGAGCAAAAGGTGAAAAAACTTATTTGTGCTTCATCGGGGGTTTCCTCGTCGTAGCTTTGGATGATTTCTAATAGTTTTTCGATGGATAATGCTTTTAAACTTTTTCTTGAACACTGTTTCTTGAGTTTTCTTTTTTCTTGAACACTTTGAAGCTGCCTCCGCTTGGTATCTCTGGCCAATCTTGCACATTAAAAGATATATCTGCGAAAGGGTGGATTTATATGCCGTACTTCGTAAAATATTTTTATTGTACGATTTTTGCTGTAGTTTTCGCCATTACCTTTTTTCATGTTAAAGGCATAATCCTCGAGAATCTTTGCTAGTTCCGTTATGGTAGTACATCTTTCAAGCGTAAAATTTCTCACCTGTTGAAACTTGGAAAATTGAGTCCAAATAGAGTGTTGTATGTATAATTAAAAGTCCAAATATTAGTATTAACTATATTACGATAACGAAACAATAAAAATGAAACTGTATTAAAATTATAACAATGCTGGTGGCCCTTTCGCGTCTGACTTCTCCGACGATATATGTTCGAATGTCCCTGTGCAGGTGTGTGTCCGACGAAAGGTCAACCTTGCAAGTTTTGTTTGCGGTTTCTGAATGGTGTCAGGTGGTGGTCTAAAAAATTGAAGGTAGCGCGAACATAGAGCTTCTGGAACCCTGCATGTTCAATTGGACATTTTCCGAAACGAAATTTTTTGATTTATTTACCTGACTGGTATCCAAATCTTGATTTTTCGTCTGGATTCATTATATCTGTCCAAAATTGATTACGCCTCAATGACATTTCTCAGACTGACAACAATAGAATTACCAAACACCTTGTAATGGATCTGTCATAATTTTGTCGCTGAGAAATCACGGCAAGAAGGAGTTTTGTCAGTAGGAAACGTGGCGTTGCTATGAAGTTTTATTAGTTAAAAATAGACTAGTGAAATAGTCTGTGGAATAAATTTTCCATGTATGTTTAAGCCTTAAATATATTAAGAAAATTTTGTTAAAGGGTTCTTCCAAATGACCATAGATACGGATACTCTAATAGGGAGCTTATAAATATTTTTACATAATCGTTTATATTTAATTGTATATATTTTTAATTATCTGTTATTATTTATTATTATTTATTTTAGACGACACTGTTGAAGATATTAATGTTGAACCTTTAGACGAATACCAAATTGATTATGCCAATATACTTGATTTTTATAAAGGTAATTTATTACAATAGCTTTATATCAGATCATGCGCAATAATATTTTAATATTGTATACACTCATTGAATGATGATCAGCATCGATGATCTAAATAACCATTAAATTGTGATTTATTTATACATTTGTTTTTTTTTTTAACAAAAAAAAAATAATTTGTTAATTTATGTGTTTAGAAATACCACAGTGATTTTTGTGTTTTTGTCATAATTGCCTCCTGAACTTCTAGCCCAATCTTTTTTCTTTAAAATCAAGTATGCATGTTTGGGCTTTAATTTTTTCGTCCTATGTCAAGTTTTATTGTATAAAACAGCTGTTAATTTTAAATAATTAACATTAAAATAACGGTTGCATTTCGATTTAATTTGAGTCTCTTACCATTCTCTAACACGTGTTTATGGGTCTACCCGTCATCAGAGACAATTTTTAAGAAGACTCAAACCAAATCAAAATGCACCGACTACTATAGCAATTATAGAAAACATAATTACCAGAGTATGCTACTACAGACCTCTAGTGAGAAAAGATGAAGTTAAATATCGATATAAATTAAAGTAAACTGTATACCCAAGCTAAATCAAGCCATTCAGAGCGATGCTGGGAATAAGCATCAGTTTCGTTATGTTGTAAAGTTTATTGTAATAAATGTGTCAGATTTGAACAGATTTTTAGGAACGTGAATGTGAACGTGAAGTAAATAAGTGGTCCAATAACAGTACTCTTCTTCTTTCTTCTTTTGGTGCCTAACCTCTGTGGATATTGGCAATCACGTTGGACAATACAACTTTGTTGACAACTGCTCTAAATAGATGTATGGTAGTCATTTCTGCCCACTGTCTGATGTTCTTCAGCCACGATATCCTTCTGCGCCCTTGAGATCTTTTGCCTTCTATCTTGCCTTGTCTTGTCTTGTAGAATTAGTTGAATTAGTTGATACTTTTCATTGCGAATCACTTGCTCTAAATATGTCATCTTTCTGATTTTCATAATACGCATAATTTCCAAATCTTTAGTCATACGTTGGATCACAGTGTTGTTTGTAACATGATGGATATAGGAAATTCTGAGCATGCGGCGGCAGCATCAAATTTAGAAGGCTTCTAATCGTTTGGATGTGACCTCCGTCAAGGTCCAGACTTCGACTCCATATAAAAGGGTAGAAAATAAATAGCATCTCATGACTCGTGTTCTTATATCAATGTTCAGGTTCATATTACATAAAATCTTCCTGGGGCGATTGAAGACAGCTCTCGCCTTTCCTATACTCTGTGATTCTATTCATTAACTTTTGGAGGGCTTCATAACTGTCAGCGAATACCACCGTGTCATCCGTGTATCTGATGTTATTGATACATTCTCCGTTAACTCGAATTCTGGCTCAACATTCTCTACTGCTTCTTGAAAGATTTCCTCAGAGTACATGGTAAACAGCAAGTGTTATAGTATACATCCCTGTTGGATCCTACTTTTTATTTTGATATCATCGGATTCTCCTGCATCTGTACGGATAAATGAAGTTTGAGTCCAGTAAAAATTGCTAATAATTCTTAAATCACAGCTGTTTATTCCAGTATTTTTTAATATCTCCATCAACTTTTGTGTTTTACTGTATGGAACGCTTTATGGTAATCAATAAAGCATGCATAAATATCGCAATTCACAGCTCTACATTGTTGAAATAACACTTGTAGGCTAAAAAGAGCCTCTCTCGTACCAACTGCGTTCCGAAAACAAAACTGTGTACGGCTGATTTTTTCTTCGCATAGTCTATATATCTTTTAATGGATGATTTTTAGAAATAGCTTGGCAATAAAAATATGGCTCATTAATCTCTGGGCCACAAATCGTTGCAGGATAGGAATTTTCTTTGGAAGAGCAATAAACCTTGACTTCTTGCTCAATAAATCTTGGTATTACCCCGTTTAAATATGTCATTGAATAATTTTGGTAGTACCGTCGGTGTTAAATAGCTTTATAAGTTCAGCATGCATTGTCAGGTCCAGGAGCTTTGCCATCTTTTATTTGTGATTTTTTCCACTTCATCTGATGTGATTGGTAAGTGTTCATTACATAGATCGTTCCCGTCTTTAAGTTAAGTTTATGATACACAACATTTTCGAACATATTAATTTGAATTAGTTTTGGCAAATTAAATTTTGCAACTACCTTATTTACATAGAGGCTTGTCAAAGAAGTTATGGACTTGCTTGCAAATTGTTTAAAACTTCTTTTAAGAATTCCGTGAATTGTTTATTAAAATAATTGTAAATGGCATATTATTAATAAAAAACATATAATTGACAAATTAAAATATGGGAGTAGAAAAAACGCTTTGTATACATACACATTTTCAAAATTGTTTATAATACATACAGAAAATAATAAACCTAATGTTTCGTCCACGATTTCGTGTATATTTAAATTCCTATCTATTTTGGGTTTAACAAATATTTGCTGTTATTTTTGGAATTTTCTAATGTACATAGCAGCACTCAGGCATAACTATCTTTATATTTTTGTATAGCTACACTAAAAAACAAAAATAAATAACCAATGAGATTAAAATAATTTGGTAAGTACAATTTATATACATATATTCGATGGTGGATTAATATAAAACTAGCATTTCATAAAAAATACAAGTTTTTTGGAATTCAATCGATGTATTTCTCAACATAGTTCTTCTAGAACATAGACTTCATCATTTGTTGCAAAACGGCGTCCTTGGAGCCATTTTTTAGGTCTGGAAACAGGAAAAAATCGCTGGTGGCAAGATCTGGTAAATACGGTGGGTGTTAAACCAATTCATAGCCTAATTTGTGTAATTTTGCCATGGCGACAACCGATCGGTGAGCCGGTGCATTGTCTTGGTGAAAGAGCACTTTTTGCATTCCAAACCGGGGCGTTTTCAACGCAATTCGGCTTTGAATCGATCCAATAATGCTGGGTAGTACTCACCATTGATTGTTTTTCTTTTTTCCAAGTAGTCGATTTGGATAATGGCCCTCTTGGCCATCTTCGGCGGCCCTTCGTTGCGTTTGCGCCACTATTTCGACTGTTCTTCGGTTTTCGGTGTGTAATAATCACATAGGTTTCATCAACAGTAATAAATCGGTGAAAAATATCCTTCGGATTGCGCCGTATTATCACCAAAAGCGTATCCGAAGTGGTCACACGTTTTTGCATTTAATCTATTAAGCAAATGATGGTGAATGATGTTGTGTACGCATTCGTAGGAAATGTTTAGGACTTCTATGAACTTGCGGAGCTTAACTCGACTATCTGTTATAATCATGTCATGGACTTTGTTGATCATTTCCGGCGTGGTGACTTTATTTGGCCTCGTATGCTCATCCTTAAAAACACTCGTATGACCACGAACAAATTCAGCTTTTCAAAATTTTATGGAAGAATGGGAAAGAACCTACTTAAATATTGAAACATACATAGGAGGTACAAGAATTTCGGAGTCATGGAAAGTACTGAGAGTATTGAAACAAAAATCTAAAAAAAAGGAAAAGAAGGACTATCACAAGGAACTGTTAGCAGAACAAAGACCACAATTCATTGGAAAAGAAAACAGGCGAAGATACATATACAGGCTCCCCATATATATATATATATATATATATATATATATATATATATACAAACAACACAGTTTATTAGGGTTGCAGTCAGTGCTGACAGTTGCTGACTGTAACCCTAATAAACTGTGTTGTTTGTTTATATCGACAGTCAATAATATCCAGTATTTCTTGTATATATATATATATATATATATATATATATATATATATATATATATATATATATATATATATATATAATATATATATACATTATAAGGATCACTCAGACGAGTGGTGGGTTCTTATATCGGTCTCAAGGTGGAGAAATTTCACCAACTTGAGACCGATATAAGAACCCACCACTCGTCTGAGTGATCCTTATAATATATTGGATTGACGGTCGTACTTTTTTTTCAGAGATATATATATATATATATATATATATATATATATATATATATATATATATCGCAACAAGGAGTACGACCGTCTATCCAATATATAATAAGGATCACTCAGAAGAGTGGTGAGTTCAAATATCGGTCTACTAGGTGGAGAAATAAAAGACAAAGTTGATACTACTTCATCTATTTTGACGACGTTTCGCTATCGAATTCTGATTGCATCATCAGTTCAACTAAAAATTTTACATTATGAGAACCACACATTCATGAAGAAGATGTTACACAGTTACCTTAAAAAGACATGCCTACCTGTTCGTTCTAGACTGGTTGATGCAGGGGATTAACGTTATCGCTAATTTCTTTCATTGTTCGGTCTCTTACAGGCGGGTATCATTCAAACTCATGTCAACTTTTTCAAATATACCGCCCTTAAAATAGTGGGTTGGTACTCTTAACCTTGCTGTTCTGTCGAAGAACTTTCGACCTCAAGGTTGGCTGTCTGTTCATGTCATTGGCTCGGTATCTTTCAATTAACGCCATTTCAACCGCAACAGGTGCTAAGCATACAGTGGTAACTTCGCTTAATTTTTTTATATATATTTTTTATATCTCAATGTAGATAACTTAAATAATGCTACCAAAAGTTAAGATGAAGTCGTAAAATAATTCTTTCTTAGTTGGAAGTGAATCGATGATTTTCTTAGTTCTTTTATCACTAGTTAATATTATATAAAATATTGTATGTAGATTATACCACGTGTTCTGTTGCTTTGCTAATTTTTAATTTTTATTAAGTATCTAAATGTTGTTAGTTATTTGATTGTTTATACAATATCACCATATGATGTCCATTTATCTGAGTTTTTGTACTAACTGTTGAATAAGATTGACAACTACATGTCTTTTTAAGTTAACCATGTAACATTTTCTTCATGAATGTGTGGTTCTCATAATGTAAAATTTTTAGATGAACTGATGATGCTATCAGAATTCGATAGCGAAACGTCTTCAAAATAGATGAAGT